TTTTTTGATTCTATTTATGTTAGTTGCTCCAAAATTTACTCCATCACTAATTCGACGTACCAGAGATGTGCGGGGCAGTGATTTTTGATGCCCCGCGGGCCCCGTCCCGTGTAATGTGTTAAATCCGTCTCGCCCGCGCCCGTGTTATCCCGAGAATATTTCAATTAATAATTGAAATTTCATAAATTGTTCATCTTATATATTTAATTTATTTATTATATAGCGAGATTTATTATAAGAAAAAATATTACATATTGTGCATGCTAAGCGTTTAAATAAAAAGCATCAGAACGAACCGGGTCATATGAATTTCGGCTTGGCCCGAAATTGAGAAATTTTTCGGTCCATAGGCCCAATGTTAGATAGGCCTATCGAATAGGACACTAACATAATTAATTAGCCATATTATTAATTAATAAACTTCAGTGTACAGCGCTATGCAGGTTATTATTTGGTAATAAAAATTAAGTAATTAATTGAAGTTCCCGAAAACTTTTTCTGACTTCGGACTCGATCCTAAACATTTCGGAATTTCAGATTTGGCCGAATGTCTGAGACAAAAAAGTCTGTGGGCCGAAATTCAGTGGTCCCATCGAACCAAAATCATATCGTTAACTAATAATGGATTTATCTTACTTCTTCTTTGAGATATAATAACACCAACTGAACTAAATGCATGTTCAACTGCTGCTGCTGAAACTGGAATTTAGAATATATTTTTTGTTAGTTTGGACAAATTAGATATTACACTTTCTTGCTCTTGCTAAAAAAAGTGGATTCTCTAGTTACTTTCAAGGTGATAGGTGTTGACTAATCAAGTAATCGATTAATTTTTTTTCAGAAATGCAATATAACGATGTCTATCGACGGTCCTCTAGTAAATCTCGAAAAATTCCTTCATCCGCCCGCAACCCGTCAAAAATATCCTCGCCCGCCTGAGGATCGTATCATTTTATTTTTTTGTACCCGTCTGACGCGCCCACCAGTCTACAACACCCGTGATCCACCCGACTCGAGTAACCCTTTCAAAAAATGTGCCCCCCCCCGTCGCCACTGTGGGTCAAAACCCGTGACCTACACACTTCTGTTGCATATTAGTATATGCAAAATCATCTGTCGATATTACGAGCGAAAGATCTTTCTTTTCATCAGATTTCGTACAAGTCATACGTGACGAAACGGACTAGTGATGAATAGTCAATCGGTTTTGCGAAGCAAATTGGTGGCTTAGATGAAAACAGTAGTGCGTCCAAAGTGGTTATCATCTTACGGAGCTTGGAGAAGGAACTCCTGAACTTGTTACATCCTCCTAGATTTAAATAAACCTTATAGATTTCGTAGTCTAAAGACAAAAAAAATAGAGTATGGGTGTAAACTAAACATATAAGAGTCTTATTTATACCCAATCTCTGTTACTATTTCTAATTTGAGTGTATTACGGTCACAAATAATAATTGAACTCCAATAATTGATACAATGCGATATTGTATTTATTAAAATTAGATAGCAAATTTACTGATAATTAGTTTATTAAGATCTGTTCACGGGTTTGTCTTCATTAATTCTCAATTTCACAGGAACTCTTTTAGTATGTGTCCAAGTGTTCAATCCAATTTTGTAACCATCTTTGATAGGTGGACGACCTGCATGAATTGTTAAACGATCACCTTTTCCTTGTTCATCAATATTAAACCAAAAGATACTGTTGCCAGCTAATGGGCGAAATCTAATACCCCGCTCAGCAGAATTTTTATCACATATTAAAATATCACAAAAGCGTTTATGAAGAGCTTTATTGAATTTAATATTAAGAAATTCTGTTGCAGCTTGAGAGCAATTTGATTGAAGATATGTAAAAAATGTTGTTATACGTTGGCCAATCTTGTCTATTGCATCGAGATCAGTAAACCAATCAAAATGCGGTTTAAACTATAAGATTTTTAAATTAATCAAACTTTTATTATTAAGTTAGAAAAGAATGTTACGTACCTCTTGTGTTTCAACATATTTGACGACTTGTAATGGTTCAAGATATTCGACATCAACATTACCTTGAAATTCAGCAAAACGTTGTTCGATACATTTGACAATGGGTGTCTCATGGCGTTCTATACTAGCTGTACTTGATGTTCGATGTTTGTCCAAAACAAGTATTCCATCTTTATCAAATATTGTAGAAGGTTGAAACCATGGTTCTCTAAAATATAGTATCAAAAGAAAAACACTGCGTTTCCAAAAAAGAAGCAACCATATATTCTCATTAAACTTAAAACTTTTTATCGTCTTATATAATTTGTAACTATCTTGCATTTATAATCTGAAGAATAAGTTTTGAATATGAATTCAGTTTTTGAAGAGAGTTATCGGAAAAATACTCAAATTGACCGTCGGTATATTGAATAAAAAAGTTCAAGATAGGACAAAAATATATACAATGATATCGAAGTTAAGTGTTATCAGAAGGTAGTGATCGCTTTTTTAGAAACGTAATTTTGTTGGTATAAAATTTTCTGAGATTCAAGTTTTGGCTAGTCCAAGTTTCTAACTCATTTCAAATCATTAGATACATCTAAGAATCGTCTAGCTCACAAGAATAGGATAGAATAATTAATAATATTATCCACCATTCACTTATGTTAAGTCATTGGCGCATCTTAGTGAAAAATAATATAAATATTTCCTAACTGCGCAAAATTTGTCTATTCTTGCATGTTTCGACAATGTATCATGCTTTTTATGACATTTTCTCAAACACTTTGGTTGATAATACATTGTCTTTGACTTGAAGAATGGGCGCTGCTCATACTCTACGACTCTCATTCACTATTAAGTTATGATTTCGTGTTTTACTTACGCTAGTTCAATTAAATGTTTCATTTCATCCTTAGTAAGAAATTTTTCTATATAAATAATTAATGGACTACGTGAAATCATTCGAGTTTTATATTGATGATCAGGACACTTATAACCATTTTGAATTTTAATTGTATTGGGTTGTTTTATAGTTTCGTTATTACATTTTGATATTTTATATTCAATAAATTCATTGCCAAAATACAAATGAAGGTCCATTAGATACCTAATAGTCAATTCTAGACCAAGTTTGATACCTTTAAATACTTTCTCTTGAATCTGATTGACATTTGATAGATAAAGGGAGATTGATATACAAAATAACACTATGACAAACAATTATAGAATTATATTATACCACTATAAACTATAATACCTGTTGATATACGACGTATAAACATTGTTTACCTATGAAAATTATCAATTGTAAATGAAATATAGAATTAATTCTTCCAAATTAAAGAAGAAATCTTCTAGAAAAGAAGTAGACTAGATATAATATCTTATTACTTTTCTCATTCTAATTAAACTTACGAAGAAACATATTTAACTGATAAATGCCTCCGTAATATGTAGTTCCATTCAGGAACACTGGAAAAACTAAGTTTTGAATTTTA